TTAAACGTCTGCATAGGAATGCTCACCTTTTCACAAACGAGGTCAACTTGTGGGTGAAAGAAATTACGGATTTCAATAAAGCTCTCAAGGAGCTCGGGGACGTTGAAAACTGGTCCCGAAAACTTGCCGTGGATGTCCAGATACTGCATGATACCCTTCAAATTGTTAATGACGAAGGCCAATAATTATTTTGCGATTCTCGCTGCTGCCGTTGACTGCTTTATCAGGGGTATTACGTTTTGGCAGATAACTATAACTCATCTGTTTGAGATTTTCCTATATATCATTCGTATTTGTTCATATGATACCTGAAAACACCTGTGATTTCAAATATATGCATAATCTTAACCTAGCTTGACGGAACTTTTGAGGAATTTCGTTTTGAGCAATAGTCAGTCGATTGTTAAAGTTCCTATTGCTAATGCTTAAAAATGATATCCCCTCAGCTGACCAGTGATGTCATTCGCCGAAGTTATCATGGGAGCCCGGGTGGAAGCCATTTGACACATTTGTGATCGTCCATGCCGTCCTCGTTGTTTCCCGGGGGTAGGAATGACTGCATGTGTTAATTGTGGCACATCAGCACACAGGCTCTCCGGATTTCGGTAGTTTCGCTTTTGGGGATTTACTTTTCGTTAAAGTTTGGCTAAGCGCGCGCAAAACGCTCTTTTATTCCATATGAACAAGAATTTGGTCCTTCAACTGACTTGTTGATCTGGTCGTCAATGGGGTCAGAGTTTCAAACTCGTAGCCTTAGTTCACTTGTAGCGAAACGCATCACTGATAGGTTGCCTGTCTAGCCCGTCCGTCAAATGTTGACTAAATGTTCTATGAAACCGCGTTTTGGTACCTGCAGCCTATCCAAAAATAGTCGATCATTTTTCTTAATTGAACATTGTTATTTTCACACACTAACATGCGGTATGAGTGTTTGGCTCAACCAGTCCTGCGCCGTAGACTTTACTTGAGTACTACTAAATAATCTCGGCTGAAATTAAGAATTGTCATTTACTACCAGCAGTTATATGTGAGATACAATGGAGTACGCGGTAAGAAGTAATGATGAGTCGAACCTTCAGCAGTTATGTTATGTAAGCTTCAAATGTCTGTGAAATACGTTTCTGACCAAAGCCTGTGTTGGCAATGCGTTTAACGGTTGTCTGCATGTAGGGCTTTTCAAAGTAGAGGTTTGCTCAGTACACTGGTACTCGGTTAAAGTTGCCGGTATCCATGCCGGTTGCAGTTCCTTCGTCGTTCAATATCTTTCAAGAAAGTTATGGTGAAATTGCCACAATTGAAGGGAAGAGTTCTGAAATCGAATTTTTGTTGTTAATGCTGCGTGCGAAGTTCTACAATAACTAGAGCATACTGTAGGGGCTGATGAACTATCACAAAAGAAATTCCTTTGTGTATAGTCTGCTGCACTCGTTAATTTGTCGAACGACGTTTCTGAATCTCAAGGTACCCAATTTGGTAGAACATTTGTAAGGTATGATAGACAAGAGAGGGGCCCAGTTTGTATGCATTTGTGGAAGCTTTTGGTAAACTATGTTTCTATTGGCGGCTTTCCGCATTCAGATTTGTTTTACAGGAAAATTTTTCATTTCTGTATCTACAGGGTGTCCACGAAGTCTGGGTACATAGGGGA